TAAACGATCAATCAATACGTCGTAAAGCAATTGACATTCAATCAATACAATTCGCGAATAACATGAAATCAATCAATACGATTACTCATTAAATAAAAATATATCGACAATCAAAACGATAATTCAATAAACAAATTAACCAAATCAATCAATCAAGGATCGGTACTATGAATCAAGTAGGAATCGATGTATCACAGGGTCTGTAGTATCGGTATCATATTCAGGTTCAGTAGTATACAATAGTGTCTATGAATCAATGAGTATCGTTATTCTCTCGACTCTCGAAATTCCTGCTTAGGATTATTGATCTATATAACAATGAATTCAATATGTCGATGTCTGAATCATAAGTCATACCGGATACGTAAATCTACCTAATCGATGAATCTATATGACTATTCCGAATTCAACAATCATTCAGACCCTGAATCGATTAGTCTCCACCAGTAGTCGCTCAGTGATCCTCATTGTAATCAAAGAAACGTTCGATTACTTCAATAAGCTAAATCGTTCTAGTAAATCAAAAGTCGAAAGCGGAATCTAACATATCTTCAAACATACATATCAATTGAAATCAATAAATCGATGGATATCAGGAACTACGTGCAGTATCTATACATGCAATCCATCACATAGTGCTTACTCGACAAGCACAAACACTAGCTATGATCAATAGTGCTGTTGTAGAATCCATATTGCTGTTGTAGATATCTGTACGTTGGTTTCTATCAAGAAGAGTCGTCACTCTTTTGCCCGTCGGCCGCCCGTCGGCATATAAAACTCCTTATAACTCACAAATCGTTATATCGATGATCTATGATTTAAAGGAAAGCCCGTCGGCCCACCATCCTGTACAGGTTAAGTTCTATCTCCAACAACGTTCAACTAGGTTCCCATATGTCTTTTAGTAACAATCAATTCAATCAATAGTCATGCAATAATCGATGCAAAAGCAATATGAAGAAAATCTAGAACATCATATCAAAAGTCATACGCATATCAATTCAATCGATCAATTCCGGAAAAATCAGAAATCGTATGAAAATCGGGCAGAGTAACAGCAGTCTGTCAAATTTACACAAAAATCCTGCAAAAAGGCACAAATTCAAAATCTCTCCAAATTACAGTAGAATATCCACGACATCAATACAAGACTATTCTTCTATAGAATCCAAATCAATCAAGTCCTGATATTTTCTATTCGATTAAAATCGCGTAGAATCAATTCCGACCGGTAAACTTCGTAGAAAATAGTCAAATCGTGTACAATAGTCATATCTATAACATACTAAAAGTTGTGCGGTGAAAGTTGTGTCAAATCGAAATCAGGTCAAAAGTTCGACTACGAAACACAAAACAATGCACAACTCGGTCAAACTCAATTTCTCTGGAAACAGAAATAGGATTCGAGATCTTACCACGAGATCTTCACTTTTACCCACGCGGCGTCGGACGAAAAGCACTCCGCGGCCTTCGAAATCCAACCTTTCCCTCTCTTTTCCTCTCTTTTCTCTTCTTCAAAATATCTCATATTTTAAAAATGATTTTCTCTTCTCTCAACCGAGCTCATTTTCTTAAATCATAAAGCTGATCGGCCCGGTTGATCGCCAAATCGTCCTGGGACGATCAGACCAAAATCATCGGCCTGGACGGTTCCCAGAACTATTTTCAGGCCGATATTTTGAACAGTACAGATCGGCCTGGACGATCTCACTATCGTCCCGGACGATCCTGGGAGGAAAATCCAAGTCAGAGATGAACAGTAAGGGAACGAGGTCTCACAGAAGTGATGGCCTATTTATAAATATTTGGGAGTGATATTTTTCATAAATATGAAAAAAATTCGAAGCATTCCATCGAACTACTTGTATTGATTCTGCTGATCATAGATCATTTCTTTAGCATTTATGTGTCTTAATGATGTTAGAATTAAGTAATCTTAAGTCCGTTGGATTTGTCTCCTCGATCCACTCGATTTGATTATAAGCATGTCAAATTTTAAGATCGCTTGGTCATCAAATTAATATTCTAAAGCTTTTAAATATGCTTCAAGACCTTGATTTGGACCCATTTTGGCTCGATAGGACCTATTTTAGCGTCATTGGGTTCGTATTGTGAGACATTTAGTTCAACTATAAGTTTGCCAAAATAATAGTTCAAATGGTCCAAAATTTAATTTTGAAGCTTTCTAATTCAAATGTCTCGAAATTTGTGCCTAATCAAGACGATTTTTGGTGAATTATCAATACCCTCAAATTTCAATGTAAGCTAGTTGGGTTGGATAACAAAGAGCCCAGCTTCACCGAACTTCCCTACAAGAAAAAGCTTACTCCCCGAGCACTCAGCCTAACTTGCCTCAATCATCAAACTTGAAGTTCTTCATCCCCAAAGTGACACCCACTCATTTTTTATCCCCAATGTGATCTCAGCTCTCTCACATAAGTCAGGAGCCCCATATTAGAAAGCAAGCCCCTTCACCTTAGCACTCGCTCACATACTCACCAAGGCCGACTTGCCTACCCAGCATCATTGAACTCACCCGAAGAAAACTCACTAGAGTTGTTCAAATCTCACCTTCCTTTGCAACGTTATGCAGGTGTTATATATTGTGTTGTACTTTTCTTTCTTTTTTTTTTCTTTTTTTGTAGCATTTTCTATAGCGCTAAAAACTCTATAGATAATGAGTGTTGAGGAACAGTTTGGGATCTAATGCTGGGCTTTTGATTGATTTTATTATAAATTCTGACAGTTAGAATTCTGAAGTCTTCATTAATTCTACTGAACTTTCCTCTACTCCTCAACTCTCTCAATTGCTCACAAGATCTGGTATCTTTCACTAATAAATTTAAATCCAATAAAACCACTTTGATTATTAATATATATTTGATTGTAACTATTTATGTTATGACTTATGAGGAACATCTAGGAAAGAAAATTGTTTTTTTGGCAACGTATTATGATATACATATGAATAAAAAATAGTCTTCCAATCACAAATTAAAACAAGTATTTTTAATACATTAGTAATGGCCACAACCATTAGCTTTAACTTAAAAATTGTTGAATGTTCATCCATTGTTGCCTTCATTTTCCGCTCTCTATCACAATTGGTGCAAGTTGCAAATCAAGTTTAATGGTGTACTTGTAAGCACATTCAATGATTAAATGTTGATTACTTACTCCCAAAATTCCGTCGTTTAAATAATCCAACTACTCTTAGAAACCAAAATTGAGCTGAACATGTACGTCATTATCATGTAGAGTTAAGATATGCTTAAGTGACTCATAAATAAGTATTGCCTAGTGAAATTCCTAGCCATCCAACTATCCAATGCATGAAAGCTCAGGAGATCAATGGAGATTCCTCACTCTGGATATGCATCAAATATGCTTAAGTGACTGATAAATAAGTATTGCCTAGTGAAATTCCTGGCCATCCAACTATCCAAGGCATGAAAGCTCAGGAGATCAATGGAGATTCCTTACTCTGGATATGCATCGAATAAGCTTTATTTCCACCCACACATCTAATTAAAGAATAATAATTTGGATAAGAGCAAAGGCCGGAGAAGAGTGATCAGCTAGCAATTAAAAAGAAAGCAACTTTCAGTGCTGTGGAGGGCCTGCAGGATCGATATTGATCATCATCTTTCACTAGCGAGCAAGGGGCCGGGAAAAAATCAGCCTTTAATTAGCTCCAGATATTCTTTAGATTTCAATCTCCAAAAAATAAAAAATAATAAAAACGATCGGTGGGCTGGAATCCTATTCACTTGAATCATTTGAAAGAAACTTCCCAATCAATTTGGCGATAAGTACCACTCGGTATAAATACCTCTTGTGCTTTCAGATCGAGAATACAATGAAAGAGCAAGCTATACGTATATACTAGGAAACTTATCATTATATATCATAATTAACTAATTCTCAGTACACGCATGACATAACTTGGAACTATAGGAGCAAACACAAGACTTGACAACCAACCTTCCTTCCTTACAAGAGACACATCCAGATAAAGGGCACAACATAAAACTAAGTAGCAAAATTATGGAGATTGCCCAAGTCTCCAAAAGTCTAATCAACACACTTACCTGTACTTGACACCAAATAACAAAAAAATTGACAAAACAGATCCAACATCAGATTTGCTTTCAGAACCTTGGCACAGCTCCACAAACCAAAGGATTTTTCATCTCAAGTGACATCTTGAGACACTCAGATAAGTCCACAGAACTATTCTCTGCAGCAACCCATTTGAAATTTTGCAAGAGTTGAGCCAACCAGAGATGAACTGTAGCTAAGGCCATAGCTTTCCCAGGACAAACTCTCCTCCCAGAACCAAATGGCGCCAGTCTCAGATCAGAACCCAAGATGTTGAAATCTTCAGAAGTGAACCGCTCAGGCTTGAATTTTTCAGGCTCAGGCCAAATGTTTTTGTCATGAGTTATCGCCCACATGTTAACCATTGCAGTAGTGCCTGCTGGGATTAAGTAATTCCCAACATGAACATCATGTATTGAGAGGCGAGCCCAGGACAGGAGAGGGCCAGGTGGGTGCATTCGAAGGGATTCTTTCACTATGGCCTGGATATAAGGTAGGTTTTTGATGTCTGAATCAGAAACTGGCCTTGAATTACCATTTGTAATAGCATCGATTTCAGCTTGAGCTTTGGCTTGGATGTCTGGATGAAGGACCATTCTGGCCATAATCCATTCCAACAGGATTGCAACAGTATCAGTTCCTCTAAAAATCATCTCCTGAAGGAACAGAACCATGCAAAGGTGGCTATACATATTAGTTTACAACAATAATTGCTAACAGTAACAAAAATATTACAGAAGCTACTTTTTAACAGATACCGAATGAAGAATCATTCAAATATAATCAATATATATATGCTGAATTTTCGACTTGCTAATTATCTTACCCAGAGAACAGCTACCATATCAGAATCTGAGAGCTTGTCCTCTTTCTCTAAATCAAGGAGCACATCAACAAAGTCCCCAGCTCGATCAACCTTAACAGCCCCTACGCTATCAGATACCCTCCTTTTCCTATGGTCCTCTATGATCTGACTCACAAATACATTCACCCTGTCCACCAGCTTCCGACACCTCCTCCTCACACCTTGAAGATCCATCCAACCAACCAGAGGCAAGTGGTCACTCCAGTTAAACATCCCAAGCAACTCATAACCCTCCTTCACCAACCCCTCAAGCTCCACGCCATCTCCCTTCCCAAAATTAATTTTTTTCCCGAAAACGCTCATCATAATGTTGTTCAGAGACCCAAAATGTAACACCCTCTTGACCTCCACTGCCCCATCTCTCTCCATCAAACCTCTTATTTCCGCCACCATAGACTCACCAATATCCATCCTTTGCTTCCCAAAGGATGAGATTCTCTTTGGGCAGAAAAGATAAGTCGCTGAAATCCTTCTTAGATTCCTCCAATACTCGCCAAAGGGAGCAAACCCCATGGCTCGGTGGAAGAGGAGTTCGTAAGCAGATTCCTTAATGGGACGGTCAGCAAAAGCAGAGCTGTTAAGAATCTCCTTGGCAGTTTCCGGATGGCTCGAGACGATGAAGCGGCTGATACCAACAGAAAAGGCCATCAACTGAGTAGCTTTTAAAGAGCTTGCGAGGTTCGCAAGTGCTCTGTGAGCCGCCGTACCGGCAAGTGCCGTGATGACGCCTGAAGGTCCAGGTATCGGGCGGCGGCAGGGAGATAGCAACCATGCAACGCCACCTGGGAAGAGGCAAATGGCGGCGAGAGACAACAAGGAAACGGTGATCATCGGCGAGAAAGCCTCCTTGGGAAGGAAGAGCAGGAAGAAGGACGAATCCACGTCCGAGGCTGCCATTCTGATTAAAAGAGCTTATTTAGACGATGAAGAAGATGTAACAGAACTGTGAAGATAGAAGGTTGGGAGCAGAGGGCCGTTATATAGGAGTCGAGGCGGAGGTTTGAAGTTTAACACTTTAACTCACGTTCCAGTTTTTTTTTTTGGGGATATTTCGTTCCAGTTTTTTAACTCGGTTTTTTTTTTTTTGCCCGGAAAGCGGAGAATGTAAATCGCGGCTGAAACCAGAGTAAAAGCGTTGTGACTGATATGCCCATCATCGTATAAAAAGTAGTCAGGTTAACAATATGATATCGGGACACCGGATGGTGAATATAACGCCCGAAAGAAGCTCATGAGTCGGCGCTAAGCCGCTAATCATCGTCTAAGGCATCCGGAAGGAGCACGTGGCATTGCGGGAAAGGGTGAGGACGACGTAGCACGTGCACGCAGCCGGGATAGGCCCGCCCCCGCAGCGAAGCGAAGACTGACCGTTGACAGGTGGATTAATTCGGTCAGCGCTGCCCGCGGGCAGTATCCGCTCGAAGATACGGCGTCCTCTCGTGCTCCAGCCATCCGATCACGGAATGGGAATCACGAGGGTCCACGCCGCCGGCCAGCCGCCAGTGTACGGCTCTAGGCCTCCGGGCCCTTCGCCGCTCGAGTCATAAACGCTTGCAATTAAGACGTTAATTAGCTTATTAATTAAAGAGAAGGGAGCCGTTGGATGCGCCGCTGGAATTGATGGGGCAGAGATCTAAACGGTTGATTGGGGGGGCGGGACCCATGCAGAAATTCTATCTACGAATTCGTTGGAGTGAGCTCCAGAAAGAATCGGAAGCGGCGGTGAAGAGCATTATAATGATGTCTTAATGAGAAATTAAAGTAAGGCGGTTTACGTCAATTAATGATGACAACGTGGCGCCGGGTACGGCGTGTCAGAATCAATGCCATTGTAATAATATTTGTTGGCCCGTCTTAACATGGGAAGCCAGTTCCACTCCGCTGTTTCGGTTTCACTCCATCCCATAATTTTACTGTTATAATTTTTTTTTCTTCCTATCATAAGCAGGATCAACATGTAAATTATTAGAAGAATTATGAAATTATTAATATTTTATTACTATTGCTATATATATAAACCTTCATATGCAATAGCTCTAAACTTTCCTCTTTAAAATTGAGTATTATAATCCTTTAAGAATTTAACATCCTCATATATCAATTTTTGATATTATAATGATCATTTTTCTTTTGATTTTCTTGTGTTTTAATTCTTTTCTTTTAATGCATATGAGTATTAAAATAATTATTTTGAATATCTAATTAGCTTACTCCTTCAAGAGACCCTAAATTAAAATTATATAAGGAATGTACAAGTTTATTAATTTCATACTTGAGTTCATAATACAACAACATCATCAAGCCTTTATCCCACTACGTGGGGTCGGCTACATGAATCTTTTTCTCCATTGTGTCCTATTACAACTCAAATTCTCGTTTAAATCTAATAAAGAAAGGTCATTCCTAATATTTTCTAACCAAGTCTTTTTAGGTCTACCCCTACCTTTCTTAACATAAGTCAAATCTAATACCTCTACTCTCCTAACCGGGTCATCGCAAGGCCGCCGTTTTATGTGACCAAACCATCTAAGGCGACTTTCTCTAACCTTATCTTCTATTGGAGCTACTCCAACCTTTTCACGTATATGCTCATTTCATATCCTATCTCTAAGGGTAAAGCCACTCATCCACTTGAGCATCCTCATCTCTGCCACACTTAACTTAGTATTATGATTATCTTTTAAAGGCCAACATTCGGCACCATAAAGCATTGCAGGCCTCACTACCATCTTATAGAATTTTCCCTTAAGCTTGAGGGGTACATTTCTATCACATAACAAGCCCGATGCATTCCTCCACTTCAACCATCCAACTTGAATTCTTAAAGGATTAATGTCATTATTGTTCGACAAGTTTTACGCTGGCTGTCGACTACCTAACACAACCCTCCACTTTTCTCATCCAGGACTTGGGACCTGGCAACGGCAGTGTTACTTGAGTTCATAATAAGTTATATAAATCTCAATTTGAATATGAAATTAAATTTGAGATCTTGTAGGTATATCAGTGTTATACCTAAGTTCATAAGTCATTTTCTTCCCTTTTTAAATATAATTATTCAATAATTTTACCAATAGTCAGTGCTTAGATGTTATAGTATTTAAGTTCAAAATAGAAGCACTAATTTAGATAAATTTTCTTTAGATGATTTTTATGATTTTTAAATTAAAAATTATTGTGTTTTGTTCATTCAATTTATCACTTATAGTTTTATATTATTCTTAATTTTAGTCATTTTTTTAATTAGTACTTTTCATTTTGGTTAACTTGACTACCAAAGTATAATAAATGGAGGGCATTTCAATAGCCAAACAAACTAGAAAATTTAACTAAACAATAAACAAAGTAAAGTGCTCAAGTAACAAATTGAAAAAAATAAATAAATATTGTACTAATCATATGGGTTATAACACATAACACATTTGGGTTGCCTCCATCAGCGCTAAGTTTTTAGTTTTTAGTCAGGCCATACTTAGATTTGCATTTTTAGCTGAGATGCATCATTAATAATCCGCAAATGTTCCAAGCTATGATCTTTCCCTTTTTTTTTTCTTTGGGTGTACTTGTGTGGTACTCGGTAAGGTGCCATGGGCCTAGCTTATTGCTAAAGGAAATTATAAGTTATCCTAATTAAAATTCTAAATTCTTAATTAAAACGGCTTAACTATGCAATTGATTTCCCATATGAATCACTAAGTCCTCCAAATGTGTCTTCATATCTCTAAATTGATTTTTTTTTTAATAATGTGGGATAAGAAGGTCTAGATTTACTACAGGTTGTCGACGATTACTCTAATTTCCTCCATAGTTTGATTGACTTGCATTCCACTTATTTCCACAATTATTATTACTCCAACTAAAATTAGGGTGGTTCCTCCAACCTGGTTGAATCAAGAAGGATAGTTCACATTTTGAGTAGGTGGATACTGCTAAAGAAAGAAAAAGAGGAAAAGAGAAGAAGATGAAGAGAACAATAAGAATTTTATTTCCATAACTTCAATGATAGTAATGGGGGTTTATTTATAGGCTTGTACAAGTGAAATAAAGAGGGCCAGGTATCTAAAAAAATAACAAATTAATTTACAAAATTACTCCTAATATTATAGATTTATTTCTAATAAAATAAGAGTTAGTTTAGTCCTTAAATATTTTTTTTTCTAGATCTGGTGTGAACTAAAATTTTTTTAATTATTATCTTGAGGTTGTTCGTCTGATTTATGGATCCATTTTTTCTCATTATTTTTATATTGCATTTATATCAGATCAATGCATTGGTGCTTAGCACACCCCAAGGGTACATAAATGATTTTATCTATACCTTTGGCATTTGATCTTTCTTTATTATCCATTATAGGGTTGCCTTTCTACTTAAGCTCCTTTAATGTATATCCTTAGTTGTCTATATGATTTTTTTGGTTGAATTAATTCCTCCTATATTGCTTATTGGTGTATTCATTCTTTTTTTAAGGTTACTGTTTGATGTTTGAAAGGTTATGCCCTCGAGTGCCCTATGTCATTTTGTTCATTTTTCTCTTTGGTGTTTCGATGACGTGATCCATGTTACTACTTTATTGAGCTTATTGTGCTAGCACAAGCTGATGGCTGACACTTTAATGATTGTCATGATGTCTTGTTTTGATTTTATTAAATATGATTTCAAAATAGCTATTAATGTTCTGGCATTAAGAAGGTTGAATTCATTTAAAATTTTATTATGTACTTTCTTATTTAGTCTTATATTGATAAGTATTGTTTTTAATATCATATTGCTAATTATTATTTTTAATCATTTAAATTTTGCTATCATCTAATTGTTTGTTGGAGGATATGTTGAGACTTTTTCTTAGAGTGTGAACCTATAAAAAATTGAAGTTGTTGTACAACATCAATTAGATTTGGAGAATTGTGATCTTTTGAGGCTCAGGCTCCAAGAAATGTGATCATTAATTTTTGGGAACTTCACCTATGATTTGATCCCTATTATTATAGCTAAAAATCATTTTGACTCATTAAAGAGGCTACAGGAGAAGCAAAATTCTTGTATTTCCTATCTTGAATCTGATCCTAACAACCTAAAGATCATTTTGGCCCTTAAAAATATTAATGGGGGAGATTTCTGATCTCTTTGCATCTTGGGATTCCTGGGTTATGCAAAGAGCAAAAGATAATTGGCTAAAGAATGATGAGGATGATCTCAAATTCCTATTCTCTAAAATTCGCCTGAGAAAAAATTATAATGGCTTGACCATTTTTGCTGCTTTGGGAGGGAACTTGAGCAATGTCTCTAATGCAAAAATGGCTATCATTCAACATTTTCAAAATTAACCTCTAAAACCCCTCAACCCCCCACCCATGATGCTTCATACTTCCCTTATGGGACTATTATCCCTTAGCATCTTTCTTCTGTGCTTTTTGACCCCATCATTATGGCTGAAATAAAAAATGTTGTCTTCTCAGGTGCCTCTCCCTCTTCTCTTGGACCTGATGATTTTAATTTTCATTTTGAAAAAATCTGATTGGCATATTTTAAGTCCTCTCTGTAAAGATGTTTTGTCTTTCTTTGAGAAAGGATATTTACCTAGAGGAGTTAAAGCTACAGCCATGGCCCTTATCCCTAAGTCCACTCATTTGAGTTCTATTTCAGACTTTAAACCTATATATTTATGTAATATGTTATACAAGATCATCTAAAAAATTCTTGGCAATAGGCTCAAGCACATAATGCCTCTTATTATAAATACAGCTCATGCTAGTTTCATAAAGAAGAGAATTTCAATTGATAATGTTATTATGGCTGCTGATTTGCTGGGGTTTTTAAAGAAATAAAACAATGATAAATTCATGTGCTCCAAGCTTGACATTAAAAAAGCTTTTGACTCTTTATCTATAGATTTCTTACTTCATAGGATGGCTTAAAAGGGCATTCTACCTATCTTTGTCAATTGGGTGAAGGCTTGTCTTTCTAATGTTCACTACTCAATTTGCTTGGATGGGGGTTT